TCAGAGCAGTAAGCCTGGTCTTTATTTTCTGTTGTTGCACATTTTCTCCTACTCTGTCTGAGACCTCCTGTTGTGATCCCTTTCAGGTGGTCAGCAGTGGTAGCTGGATACTGTCTAGTTCTTCTGGTCTCAGGGTTGTGGAGGCTGGGCTTCCTGTGGTTCATTAGTCCTCTGGACTAATGGCTTCCTTGCATCTTTGATTTTCTTTACTCCTCTTTGCTCCAAATGGTGAGAGACCAATAGTTGCACCTCAGACGGCTACTTGTAAGCTCTTAACACTCAGTCACTATTCATCAAAGTAGGATGTAAAATATGGTCTTTTTGGATTGTGCTATGCCAATTGACCTTAATGTCCCTTGAAACTATGGTTCTGAGCCCCCAGGCCCAGCGACTCATTCCTTTAAGGTATTAGGTTATGGCTAAGAAGTTTTCATAACTTTGCCCCATGTATGCTCTCCTATATTCATGGATACATTTGCAGCACATATGAATACCATAAAAACCCCAAAAACCCAAGCCAACTGCCATCTAGTCAATTCTGATTTGTAGCAACCTCCCATTGGGTTTCCAAGGCTGTAAATCTTTGCGGAAGTAGACTGCCTCATCTTCCATCTACAGAGCAGTTGGTGGGTTTGAACCACCAACCTACTGGTTAACAGCCAAATGCCTTACCCAGTACGCCACCAGAGCTCCTGCATATGAATATGTATGTACAAACATCCTCTGTTAAACTCATATATTCTCATGGTATCTGTCTTTTTGATTAAAGCTGTTCTAGTGGGTTTGAAGTGGTATCTCATTGTTTTGATTTGCATTTTCCTAATAACTTTGAATATCTTTTCATGTGCTTACTGGCCCTTTGTTTATCTTCGTTGCAGAAGTATCTGTTCACATCCTTTCTCTATTTTTAATTTTTTTTTTTATTATAGAGTTCTTTATATTTGCTATAAACGTTGTCTATATATCCTGGACAACAGACCCTTGTCAGATGATTTGCAAATATTTTCCCCCATTCTGTGAGTGGCTTTTCACTTTCTTGATGGTATTTTTTGAAGCACAAAAGTTTTAAATTTTGATGACGTTCCATTTGTCCATTTATATTTTCTTTAATTGCTCGGTACTTTTGTTGTACTTAAGAAGGCTTTGCCTGACCCAAGGCCATGAAGATTTAAAACTCCCGTGTTTTCTTTGAAGAGTTTTAAACTTTTATCTCTTAAATTTGGTCTGTGATCCATTTGAGTTCATTTTTTTGTGTGAAGTCCAACTTCATTTATATGTCGGTATCCATTTGTTTAAAGCACTATTTGTTGAAAAGATTGTTCTCTCTCCATTGGATTATTTTGACATTCTTGTTGAAAATGAACTGACTGTAAAGGTGTGGGTTTATTTCTAGACTCTAAGTTGTATTCCATTGATCTATTGTTAAGCCAGTACTCCACTGTCTTGATTACTGTAGGTTTGTGCAGTGAGCTTTGGAATTGAGTCTTCTAACTTTGCTCTTGTTTTTGGGCTATTTTGGGTTCTTTTCATTTCCATATGAATTTTGGGATCAGCTTGTCAATTTCGGCCAAAAAAAAAAAAAAAAAAAAGAAGCCAGCCGAGATTTGGTAGGGCTTGTCTTGCATCTATAGGTTAATTTGGAGAGCATTGCTGTCTTAGCCATATTTACTCTTCCAATACATGAACTTGGGGTGTCTTTTCACTTTTTAGGTTGTCTTTTCAGAGTCTGATTTTGTTTACTTCCTTTGTTAGATGTATTCCTAAGTATTCTGTTCTTTTTGATGTTAGAAATGTTTTCTTAATTTCATTTTTGGTGTGTTCATTACTAGCATATAAAAATTCAATTGATTTTTATATATTGATCTTGTATCCTGTAAACTTGCTGAATTTATTTATCAATTCCAATAGTATTTCAGAGGGTTCCTTAGGATATTCTATATACAGGATCACATCCTGTAAGTAAAACATTATTTCTTCCTTTGAAAACCTGTCTGCTTTTTTTTTTTTTTTTTGCCAGATTGCTCTGAGGCTAGAACTATGTACAGTGTTGAATAAAAAGACAAGAGTTGTCTTTTTCCTGATTTTAGGGGCAAAGTGTTCCGTCTTTCACCACTAGTATGACATTATCTGGCCCTTTGGTGTATGACCTTTATGAGGTTGAGGAACTTTCCTTCACTTCCTATTTGTTGTGTGTTTTTAATCATGAAAGGGTATTGTCTTTTGTCAAATACTTTTTCTGTAGCCACTGAGATGATCATGTGGTTTCTATCCTTTATTCTATAGATAATATGTTGTTGTTGTTGTTATGTGCCGTCGAGTCGGCCCTGACTCATAGCAACCCCTCCTTGGGTTTCCGAGGCAGTATCACTACAGAAGTAGGATTGCCCAACCTTCCTTCCGAGGAGTGGCTGGTGAGTTTGAACCACCAGCCTTTTGGTTAGCAGTCAAGTGCCTTAGGCACTATGCTATATATTATATTAATTGACTTTCTGACCACTTGGTCATAATCCTTTTTATATGTTGCTGAATTTGGTTTGCTAGTATTTTGTTGCACTCTTGTATCCTGGCTAGAATTTTGTATTAAAAAAATTATATGTGTACTTATAAGACATACTGGCTGTAGTTTTCTTGTCTTGTGGTATCTTTGTCTGGTTTTGGTATCAGGATAATTGTTATTGTCTTGTGCTGTCCAATTGATTCTGACTTTTGCAACCCCACATGATACAGAGTAGACCTGCTCCATATGGTTTTGTTGGCTATAATCTATGGAAGTTGAACACCAGGGCTTTTCTTCCATGGTGTCATTAGGAGGGTTTGAACAACCAACCTTATGTTAGTAATCTAGCCTTTCAATCTACCTAGACGCTTACTAGGATGTAGAAGTTAGAAATATAAGACTTGGACCCTACCCTTTGGAATTCTCAATCTCTTTGGTGAGATAGATGAGCCATACCCTTGAGGAAACAGGGACTCATAGGAGGTGGTGTTGACCATGTTCCAGGAGACTCTGGGATTTCAGCACCTGGGAGGTCCCGGAGGCCTGGGATTGGTCCAGAAGGACCATGTGCAGTTAGCAGAATGTCTTTAGCCACTTCTCTTATTCCTTGACAACAGCTCTGATATTCACTGTACAGTAACCCTGACATAATGTTCACAAAACAGGGATGTTCATCAGCTGTTTGAGGAGCTCGGTCCAGTGAGCAGCATGCCCAGGTTATCTTTGGAGACTGCAATTAGTGCTAGGCAACAGCTAGCATCTCCAGTCAAGACAGAGCACATCTTCTAAGAACTATTATGGCCGGAAAGAAGTTTCTCTGTTCTATGGCAGTTTCTTGTGCCCTTGGAAGCCCTCTTTTGAAGGTGGTGTCCAGGCCTGCAGATGTTGCTCACCCTGGAGAGCATATGCAGGCACTTATAGGAAGGTCAGAATAGGAATGAAGAGATAAAAGCCAAACACGAATATCTCGCATAAGGAAGAAATTCCTCATGGGGGGAGACCGACCAGGATGATGGGGGTGTGCTCTTAACGTCCATCTCTGAGGACATCCCTGTCTCTGCCTGGTGGGCCATGCTCACTCACTCTCTGTAGGACTGCAGATACTGCAGGATTTATGTGCTACTTCAGGGCACTTGGATCTCAATACACAATAATAAGAGTGGTGTTTTGGTGGGAATCCAGTTAGAAAATACAATTTTCTTCTGACCCAAATGATCTTCTCTCCTTTCAGTTTTGGTTAAAGGCCTGTCCTTCCTGTTCTAGACTCGAGTGCTGGTATGCGCTTGAGAAATCCCCCAGGTTTCATGTCACCATGTGCTTGCATTTCATGAAAGCCCCTGGCCTTATTTAGACATCATGTCACTGCTGTGGAGAGCTTGAAGTTACTCTCCTGGTTGTGTTTAATGATCTGAGGCCCACAGCTCACATTTATTTATGAGGTACTTAACTTTGTGGAAAAAGAGACTCAGTAACCATAAACTTTATTTATAGTCCACATGCAAACATATATTTTTACATGTTGCCGCAACTAGTGTGTTAATACTATTTTCTATGTTTTATATTTATCTCCCTGTGCTAAGCCACAGGCACAGTGGGCAAACCCTGCTTTCCTTGCTAATCGCATGGTAGGGGTCAGCACGAATCCACTTCCCAAAGTGGGGGCTGGAGTCAGTCCTCACCTTCCCACTTCTCCACCCTTATCCCCAATGCTCAGGTGGTGCACTCTCTTTGACCCTAGCCTCCCAGACCCAGCTGGGTCAGGGCTCACGAGTTAGATGGAGACTGTCTTTCAGCCCCAGCCACCCAGCGCTAACACGTTAAAAGGAGGACACCTTCTTTCAGATGCCAAACAGGCAGCTGCCTGCTCTGGCTGGACCTCACTGCGCCTGTGGATTGGTTCATTCACTGGAGTGACTCACAGATTTCACGGAGAGCACAATATACTTATATACAGATTTAGTACAATCAAAAGGGATACAAAGGTGAGGTCTGGTGGGGGTGTGTGTGTCTGCATGTGGAGTGGTCACAGCATGAAGCTTCCTTGCCGCCTGTGCATAGTGACCAACCAGGAAGCTCCATTTGGATCTCAGGGTGCAGCACTCTCAGCCTCACCACCTGGTCCTGGCTGTGGTAGATTACATCAGGCCTCATGAGGCTTAGTCACCAGCGGGCCCCCAGGTAGTCCCTCTTGGTCTCGTCATCTCCCTGTATTAGCCTGTGGTGTTGGGTCTGTATTGAAAGAATCTAGAACAAAGGTCAGATTGCTTTCTGCGAGATGACTGCACACCTCACAGGCATTTAACTTTATAGAAGGAGGAAATCAGTAACAAACTGTATTTATAGCCCCCAAATTAACATCTCAACCTTGTCCATATGGACACAGACATTTTTACATATGTTGCTGCAATTAGTGTGTAAATACTATTTTCTACTTACCGTACACATTTGTATAGCATAAATCCACCAACAGGTCTGTATTGAAATGCCAGTGTTCACTTCACAGAACGTGGAGGCTGTGGATCCACGAGGTCGAACCTTACTCCACCTTGCTGTGTCTTTGGGACATTTGGAATCGGCCAGAGTCTTGCTTCGACATAAAGCGGACGTTACAAAAGAAAATCGCCAGGGATGGACAGGCAAGTATATATACTCTGAAAATACTTTTAAGCCTTTCATTTTATTTTTTCTTTCTAAAAGAAGGCCAGGCTCAATCATAATTTTCCTCAGCATCATCTTCACCTAAGACCATGCCTGGCCTGAGCGGCAGGGAGGTGAGCACTGTACACGCTGTGGGCTGCTCTGCAAGCACGGCACTTGGACCATGTCTTGGGCCAGAGCCTTTAGTAGAGGGTGACTCCTCATCTAGAAAGCAGCTCTTGGCACAGACCCTCCCCAGTGTACGTGGGTGTGGAGGCCTTTTCCTGTGAAGAATATGATAACTCCAATGAATCCATTAAGATAAACACAGTAAAAATCAATGATGGCTAGAAGTAGCTTATTTTAGCAAAATCCTGGCCTTTCATTGTTTTGTGTTGACTGAGCAAGGACAGTCATAACCACAAGCCCTGTCTGCCAGATCTACCAGCAGATTCCACGGTTGTTAAAGCCAGCTCTCTGAACTTCTTGTCAAGATTTTAGAATGGCTTGCAAGAATAGGAAGTTCCCTGGGTGGCACGAATGGTTTGTCCTCCTCTCCTAACTTACAGCTTGCTGGTTCAAACCCACCCAGTGGCACCACAGAAGAAAGGCCTGACAATCTGCTTCCAGAAAGATCACAGCCAAAAAAACCCTACGGAACGATTGTTCTGTGTGACCCATGGGGTTGCATGAGTTGGAATTGACTTGATGGCAGCAAGGGTTTTGGTCTGACAAGAATACATGAAGGGTGGAGGGGGTTTGATTCAGAGGCTGAGTGCTCTGTTTCCTTCTTACTTGGCCAAGAGATAAGGTTTGACTGCAGGCTGTCTCCCTCCTTGAAGAAAAATACTTGAAGAAAATGTATACATTTTCACATTGGTTTTGGAATTTGTCAGAAAGTATGAGACTCCTGGGTGATTTAATCTTGCCCTTTTTGTTTATCAGTTTTACACGAGGCTGTGAGCACTGGTGATCCCGAGATGGTGTATACAATTCTTCAACACCGGGACTACCACAACACGTCCATGGCCCTCGAAGGGGTTCCTGAGCTGCTCCAAAAGATCCTCGAGGTATCTGTGAAGGCATGGAGTGACATGCTGGTACCGTAGCTACAGAAGCTGCCTGGCAGCCTGGGTGACTTCCTAGAGAGTTGTGAACAGCGAGTATGGATACTGCCTACCAGATTGCATTGCCCTTGCCTTTCCAACTCGTTGAACGCATGATGGGATCACTCACAGATTACATTTCCAGGTCACTGGGGTTACCCTTTTAAATGCTGCTGGAATACTGTAACTTGAAAGAAAGGACCACCAAACATGATGCATTTGTTAAGGTACATGTTTTGTTAAAAACAGCACCCTGAGCAACCGTAGGTCATCTTGGGGAAATTGTCATGAGCACCAGTTACTCTATAGGGCTCCTCAGGGCTCCGGAGTTTGTGTGTATGTTCTCTTTGACACCTGTATTACTTTTCAAAACCAAACTCACTGCCATCATGTTGGTGCTAACTCATAGCAACCCCCATTGGGTTTCCAAGGCTATAAATCTTTACGGAAAGGAGACCACCCCATCTTTCTTCCACGGAGAGGCTGTTGGGTTTGAACCACCAACCTTTGGGTTAGCAGCCAAATGCCTTAACCACTACACCACTAGAGCTCCTTGTGTTACTTCTAGCTGTTAGTATTTTTATGACTTGTAATCCACAGCCTTCATTTATTCACCATATTGGTGTTTGGGCAGTTGTCTGTCTTGTGGAGTAAAGTGCATGAGCTCTGTGACACTCTGTTGCCTTTCATTTTAAAATTTACATCTAGGCTCACAGATGTGTGTTGCATGATGGCTGCCATTCTTCAGATCATTTTTGTTACCTCAAAGAACCATCTTATCAGGCACCCATGAGCAGTATTCCCAGGGCCACAGGAAACAGAAAGTTGCAGTAATTCCACTTTCATGTCTCTTAATTCTCAGTTTAAGCACAGAAGTGAGCTCCCTAAAACCACTCCATATATTTGTTTGGTAAATCAGCTTTATAAATTTAAGTAAAATATATTTGAGAAAAATTAATAGCTCTGTTGAGAAAAGGAATACCTTTGCTGTTATTTAAGACTGTCACTGCTCATTATTTGAGCACTCTTTTAAAAAACCTTATAAACTCATTCCCATGGCTTAACTCTCAGCCAAACAAAAGACAGGCCTACAAGCTGAACACCTATGCCAGGGACATGAACTCCTTACAACAGTCAACCATGGGAGATCAGAAGGGCAGCATTTGTAAAGGGAGAAAGGTAGGGAGGCAGGAATGCATAGGCAAGAAGGACACAGGGAAGGGGTAACCACAGGGAGGAGGCGGGAGGAGAGCCGAGATACACTGTGGGGCTTGTAATCATTGTCACAAAACAAAATGTGTATGAACTGTTGAATGGAAAATGAATCTACTTTGTAAAATGTCACCCAAATCACAATAAAAAGTTGAAAAACAAAAAACAGTCCTATGATGCTTAAGCTTAAAGTTTGCCTAAGATACTCAAGTCTCATGTACTATATTGAAATCTTCCATGAAATCTGAAATAACTGTGGGCATTGTTTTTAAGATAGGTCTGTGTTTATGAGTGTGCAAAAATCATACGGATTTATTGTTTCCTTATCTAACTTACTGCAGGAGGAATGAAAAACATCATTTGCCCATTTGGCAGTAAACCACTTACACGGCGTTACCCTTCATTGAAAAAATTCCGGGCAAGGGATTTTCTTTTTTTAACCATATGGATGCACAGCGACAGACTTAGTTGAATTGTATTCACTGTTTAAAATTGTAGGCAGCTCAGAAATGACCTGTGTAGTTGGTGACCCCAAAGGCAATTGATGTTTTTGTCTTTAGCAGGGTCTCATAAAATGTGCCAGCCGTTCTTAACGACCACTCCTTGGAGTATGTCTTTGCCCACCATTGGCATCCTGGCTGGCTTTACTCCTGGGCAGACTCTCAACCCTGTGCTTCCGTAGAAAACCATGGGCAACCCTTGGGGTGTGAGGAGACAGAGCACCTGGAATGGCTAGCATTTCTCTTTTTCTCAGATGGGAAATGTTGGATTTTTAGAAGTAGCTCTCTAAGAGCTTTCCAAAAGAATCCATGGTAGGTAAGAAAACCACCCTAAACAGGGCTGCTCTGTGGTGTGAAAATTCAGGAAGCCAGGTTGTAAAAGCTTAGAAGGGAGCGGGGCAGCCTTCTCTTAACTGGAGGGAAAAATCTATTTCCCGGAGAAATGATGTCTGGCAGCCTCTTTTGGTTTCACAGAGTGGTCCCATGAAGCACATCCCAGAACACAAAGCCTTTTACAGTCAAGCTCCCCATAGAATAAGAAGAATCCACTTTCCCTTCTTTTGTCCAGAATAGACTGTTGCCTGCATTGAGTGGATGGACTTAAGCCCCTCCTCCCGGGCTCCACTTTCTGTTACTGTTAGGGACCCAATCAGGCCCCCAAAGCAGGTCTGACTTTTATTCAATCTTGATGCTTTCAGTTAACTTCAGACACACTTTATTTCAAGGTAAAACAATAGCCTAAAGATAAAATAAGCATTTATTTTGATGAATATGTACTTTAAGCTTTTTAAAATTATTTTCCTGTTCTCCCTTACTTTTCTTTTTATCCTGTCTACCCTTACTTTGTTTATTTGTGTTTAGTTAATAGTGCCAAGGGCAATTTATTTAAAAACTTTGTCTGCCCTCCAGGCTCCGGATTTCTATGTGCAGATGAAATGGGAATTCACCAGCTGGGGTAAGCGATTCCATATTTATTTTGCCTGAATATAGAATTATTTTTCTTTTATAAAAGTAACTTATCTTTTTGGAAAAACCTAGGAAAGATAATCCCTCCTGGCCCACAAGCACAACTTAATGCTTTGGGGTGTTTTCCTTCCAGTCTTTTCCTCCATGCACAGGACTTTTCCCCTGAGCATCTATAAATATAATGTATGGACACTTTCATCCCTTCGTTTTATCACTTAAAAGCAGCTGTGGTGGCACAGTGGTTAAAGCACTTGGCTACTAACCAAAAGGTCAGTGATTTGAACCCACCAGCTGCTCCATGGCAGAAAGATGAGGCAGTTTGCTTCCATAAAGATTTACAGCTTTGAAAACCCTATGGGGCTATTCTACTCTGCCCTGAAGGGTGGCTATGAGTTGGAATTGACTTGATGGCCGAGGGTTGGATGGGTTTTTTCACTTATAGCTGACATTTGTCCGTATCACTGCTTTTTTAAAAAATGCCACTTAAAACTGCTGAAATGTTAGTAGGTAGTTTTACCATAACTTACTTATTTTCTTTTAAGCTTGTTATTCTAAGGAAGAAAATGAGGTGAATATTTGCATAGCTTACTTTTACAAGATGGATGCTTTTCTCTGAAATCTTACATAAGGATATTGACTGACAGTGTAATTTTTGAGATGTTTTCCTTTTATTTCTTATAGATCAGTTAATAATAGCTGCTGCGTCCCAGGTTTTCTGCCATTTTCACTGCCAGACTTCCCTTTTACGCAAGAAATCCTATTTATAAAGGAACATTTAAGTGAAGCAAAAAGTCTGTAAAAGAAGAGAACTTCAGATTCTTCTGTGAAATTAATGGATTCTTTTCTAATGCAAAGAATCACTCTCTTACTTCATGTTCTGTTAAAAAGCAACACATTTTAGACATTTGATATTTTGAATGGTGGATATGACAGTCTGGCCACAGCCATATGGTGAGAGTAGCATAAGTGAATGAGAAAGGCCAGATGGACACACTAGCCCTGGTGGGGTCAGGAAGTGGGGTTCATGTCAGGACTGAGAATACTCTTGGGAAATTCATTAAGCGTTTTCTCTACGCAAGATATAGATCTGCCCTGTTATAAAGAACTAGAGAGCAGAAGGTGGTCCGATTTTATTTCCCCAGAGTGACTTTCTATGTCCTAAGTGTGGGAGCCAAGGAGTCTAGTTGTCTATGGTGGTAACCATCTTGCCACTCCCATCCTTCTATGAAAGCCCTCATTCTGATTTGCTGGGTATCTGCCACAGTCCAGGTCCTCAGTTGTACCCCCCCTTCCTGCCCCTCAGTGCCCTTGGTTTCCAGGATATGCCCGAATGACGTCTGTCGCATCTGGAAAAGTGGTGCCAAACTGCGTGTTGATATCACATTACTGGGATTTGAAAACATGAGCTGGATAAGAGGGAGGCGCAGTTTTATATTTAAGGGAGAAGGTGAGTGATTCCTTGTTCTAGTGATCACTGCTCAAGCTAAATCAGAGTGATTTTTTTAACCATTAAAATGTGCTCAGATCCATTTACCTTCTCCAATCCTGTCTGGGGCATGTTTTTTTAAATTAATTATTGAGCTCTCAGTTGCTGTCTTCCTTCTGGCCTAGGTCATCCTCTTGCACATATCATTTATCACCCAACACTCATTACCCTTTTGACATGCGTCTGTCTCACTTTCCTGAGCCTTTGAGGACCAGGCTGTGCTAAATCTCTTTATAGTCCCTCCCTATCTCTGGTAGCATAGTGCCTAAGGCACTTGACTGCTAACTAGAAGGCTGGTGGTTCAAACCCACCAGTCACTCCTCGGAAGGAAGGTTGGGCAATCTACTTCCATAGTGATACCACCTTGGGTCACTATGAGTGAGGTCCCACTTGATGGCAAATAACAACAACAACAACATCAGGCAATGACCCTCTTAATGGAATGTGAGAAACAGCATTGGTAACCCAGTGTTGTACATACATAATTTATATTAAATATATAATTGCATATTTGAAAAACTAGGCTGATAAAATGTGCTGCTAATAAAGAATACCAATTATTTTGAAAGCTTGCCCAGAAACCTTTTTAAGGGAATACAGGCCAGATAATCCCTGTCCAAGTAGGTAATAGATATTTGATACTCTATAGGTATCATTAGCACCTTTGAAGAAAACTTGGAAGAATGCTGCATATTACTCTAGAAGGCTTCTGCCTTTGCATCTTCTTTCGTTGTTTCTGTTCACAGACAACTGGGCAGAGTTGATGGAAGTCAACCACGATGACAAAGTGGTCACCACTGAACACTTTGACCTCTCCCAGGAGATGGAGCGCCTCACTCTGGACTTGATGAAGCCAAAAGGCAGGGAAGTTGAGAGGCGGCTCACAAGCCCAGTTATCAACACCAGCCTTGATACTAAAAATATTGCTTTTGAAAGGTAAGAATTTAGGCTCTGTATTTTGATGTCTAATCCCTGTACTGTCTTTAGTGGCAGGTCTATAATGATTGGAAATTTTGGATGGATTGAGATGTTTCTTCCTTTGCGTAACAAACACTCATGGGTTTTAAGGTTTATCTGTGTTCTAACCAAGTAGAAATCATGGCTGACACCCTGTACTATCATTTTTGTTGCACATGGGTTAAGTTTTTTGGAGAAATGCCTTCATCTGCTTTTACAGGTCCTTTCTAATGGAGTTTATGCAAATCTTATTCTTGTTTTGCTGTTTGGGGATCCATAACACTCTCTAGTCCCAAACCATAGTGCTTTGAATCTCTGGATGCCACAATTGACCCTGTATTGAATTTGGTTGTACCAATATTAGTCAGTCACATTCATACTACATATAAGAAAAGGTATCACATACTTTTCCCACCTGTGGGGCCTAATAGTTTAGAGCAGGAATCTGGAGGGGTTTCAGTTCTATTTCAGGCTTGACCAGAAGAATTCTCTGGAGAGGTCTGTGCCTTAGTTAACTGGAAGAGAACACCATCACTAGTCATTTGCCCCTGGGTCGCACAGATGGTATGAGGGCCTTCAAGTGGAAGGGAAGTGGAGGTGGAGGGGTCATCAGAATTATTTCTCACAAGTTGTTAGCCTAAGTGTTTCTATCACAGGACACACTACACTGAGGGAGCCCACAAGAGCCCTGCGTATTTGCCTAGGATGTCACACGCATGCAGCTCTCTGTAAACCACAATGGCCTAATCTGTGCTAAACAGGACGATACTATGCTGGATTTAGGTTTTCTTTTCTCTTGATGCATATACTAATTGTTCTCTGTTTATATTTTCTTGTCTTGTTTCCAATATAAAATAGCTAATAAAACTGGGAGCTTTCCATCCAGTCCAACATCCAAACTTGTTCAGTGCCCTTTCCTTCTAGTTTAGATTGAGCTATGGGATTAGGGTGTCTGTAGCAGAAGAAAAACCCAAAACTGAAGTGCCAGCCTGTGTTTGGTAAGAGCAATGATATCTCCCCAGTGGCAGGAGGGTCCGTCCTCATCACCAGTCTCCTTACACAGGCCTCCCAGTTGACTGCCACTGTTCGAGGACAGTGATGTTAGGGACTGCACTTTTGCTTGACCTGGAAGGGCCTGGAAGACATCTCCATGCTTCAGCGTGCCCCCCTGGAGACAGGGAGGGTTTGGGAGAATTCAGGAAGCTGGCAAGTAGGGGAGGTTGTCCTCACTGCCACAGCCAGTTGGCAGAGATGAGTGTTAGAAGAACTGAGTGCCATTGGTGGGGCTTCGAAGTACCTGGGCAAGTTGCTTAGTCTCTCTGGGTTTCCATTCCCTTAGCTGAAAAAGAAAAGGTGTGGGTCTGGGGATGACGTCTGAAGTCCATGAGTTAGTATGTCATGAGATCTCGTTTCCTGTAGTTCATCAGCAGAGTTGCTAGATTCATAGTTCGTAAGTGTAGCTTATGAAGAGAGCGTGACAATTCCAGGCTGACCCTGCTGAAGGTAGGTGGGAATTGATACCACGTTCTATTAGTACTGAAGACGAGGGATGTTTTTTATTTATATGGTCACAGAGTTTTGAAATAGATCAAGTTAACCCTCCTTTTGCAGCTGACCATGGGTTGGCAAGAGAAAACTGCTGGTAGACAGCTGTTTTTTTATAGTGCTCAGAATGAAGTATGTGATCAGCGGTTGCTGGGCACTGAGCAAGGACTCCAGGCAGTGTCTGTGAGGTTTGCTGGTACAAAAGGTATGCCTAATCTACTTCTTGCCAGAGGTGTAAGTACATTTGATCGGATCTTAGTGCACATTTTGTAACAGTTGTTTTCACCCATTTCTATTGTCTTAATCTGCTGTTTGGAGTTTGATAACTTGCAAACTAATACCCTAACTGTGAATTTGGGGCCTGCAGTATATACCCTCTGGTTGCAGTTTACATTTCTTCTTCTCTGGAAGATTTTGCTTTGTCTGGCTGAAACATAATATTCCCTGCCACCCTCAGAGCCTTTTTCTAAATTGTGTAGCAGCCTCTGAGACACCGTACCTGCAAAGTGGGGTGGTGGTCCCAGCAGAGACAAGCAGAGGTGACAGTGGCAGAAGGGGGAAGGTGGCATTCCCATGTCATCTTCGGATGCCTCGGAATGTGAAGTTTATCAAGGGCCAAGGGCTGTTAGAATCTTGGTTTTAAAAGGGTGTAGCCATTGAGCTACACATTGAGCTATTATGGTCAGAGGCCAGAAATGCAAAAGGAACTGGCATCTCCACGATTGCTGGTAGGGAGGATGTGGGTGAGTGAGAGACACATGGTTCCCAGGGCAAAACATGAAACTGCATTTTCTCAGCGTTTGTGAGGGTAGACTCACTCAGCATATGGTTGGGACCTCCAGAGTCATCCTTTGGTCCTCAGAAGACTATGTTCCTGAAAAGTTGTTCCCCATGCCGAGGTATCAAGTGAGTTAAATGAAGGACAGGGAGTTGAGGATGTAGTTAGTTAACTGAAAGGAGTATTTCAATTATCAATGATTAAAAGGGACCCTGGTTTATTAACCAGTCAGGTGTGGTCCCCAAAGCTCCCTCCATGATTCCTACTTTGTTTCCGAAATCTAAGTTGGAGGTAGCTAACATCTGGAGCAATCTCTGTAGGATTCCTTACTTCCCATCCATGCATTGTACTGCACTAATTGTAGACAACTGTTAAGGAGTCCTGGTGGCACAGAGGTTAAGCATCTGGCTGCTAATGAAAAGGTTGGCAGTTCAAACTCACACAGTGGCTCTGTAGGAGAAAGACCTGATGATCTGCTTCCGTAAAGACCGTGGCCTAGAAAACCCTATGGAGCAGTTCTGCTCTGTCACATGGCATTGCTGTGAGTTGGAATCAGCATTACAGCTCCCAATAACAACAACAACCATAGGAAAATTAACCCTTGCTTGACCCGTGGGCCATACAGTACCCACCTACATTTTCATCCTCTAGGATTTATTGGGTAGCTGCTTTCCCATTGACAGTACATACAGCTGTCAGGAGGGGACCTCTGTAACTGTTGAAAGAAATGGGCACGTACTGCAAATTACTGTTGTTACAGGGTATTATGTATGAGATGATACATCCCGTAGGTGTGATTTTGCAAAACTTATGTTCTTGGCTTTGTTACTAGGCAATAAGCCTTAAAGTATATTTCTGGGTTCCTATGCATTATTTGGAAGTTGCTTTTCTTGCAGTGATTCCGTGTTCATGCTGTACTGACTTTCCAGGTACCCTAAACTACATGCACCTGTCAAGGGCTCTAGAAGGTAGTACAGAGTCCAGAGGGACACGTCTCCCACATAATATGTATCAAAATCCATATTTCATAACAAAATTTCAGACACACTTCTTGACTTAACATACTTTCTATTAATGAAAACATACGTCGACAAAAAAGCAGAAAATAATCAGGTCATGAAGGGATTAAAGCTCTAGTCTCTTATTTATCTGATAGTCTGTAACACACACGTGAAACTCACAATACTGCATCTGGCCTAGTTTTATGTATAAAATCTCATTGGAAAAAAGCAAACTGTTTGGAAACAAAACGCCACTAACTGTATGTGTTCTTTGTGACTTTGCTAACCTGCCATCGTTCCTCAGCTTCCTTCATGACTTCCTGCCTCAGTCAGGGGTCAAAGCAGAAGGCAGGCTGTTGGCCAACAGCAGGGCCAAGGGCAGAAGTTGCAGTGGAGCTAGGATGTGATGTCCTAGACAAAGGGGCTGGGCGGGTAGGCCTCCCATGTGAGTGGGAGCATTTCCCAGGGTGAGCTGCTTTGTGAAAAACAATCCAAGCCTCTTGGCTGCTCTTTGTGCCTAATGCATGTTTTCAGGAATACGTGGAGTTGAAATAGTTGGGCTTTTGGGCACTTTCCCAAAGTGCCAGCTGCTTCTGGAATGCTGGTTCACTTTAACAGTGTTCCATGGATGGCAGGGCTGCACATCTGCTTTTTACCATCTTTTTGGTCTGCTGCACCAAACCTGATAAAGTGTGTGACTCACAAGCCATTTGCAGGCATTAATGGCTGCTCTAAGCAGCTGCCCACAGGGTGAGTTTCTGCCCCCAGCCACTCTCTTCTGAGGAGCAGGATGGTCTGTGCCTCATTGTTCTAAGAATTCCTCAATTGAGAAGCGGCTGTTTACAGAGACAGAGTTGCTGATGTCTGTGTGCACAGTTAAGATGACCCAGATAATCGCTCTGACCCAGGTACCACCCTATGGTGAGACCTTGGCCACTGGTCGTCTTTACTCACTCTTGAGGACAGCTGTGCAGTAAATGTCACCACCTTTGTCACCTATGCTGGCAGTTTCTTAAAGAAGCCAAGAACCGAGGCTTCCATGCCAGGGGTGAGGCAGATTGATTACTGTGTGGGGTGGGGTGGGAGATGCCATCTGTCACTGACAGCATCCTTTTGTGGACCTGAGGACCGTCATTCCCAAGTGTCCTTCACTAACTTAAGCTGGGGGGAAAAAACATAACGGCTGCAGGGATAAATCTGAATGGCAATATTGTACATGTAGAAATTTGTGGTGTTCACTTTTTATCAGAACTAAATCCGGATTCTGGGGCTGGAGGACAGATAAAGCAGAAGTTGTTAATGGTTACGAAGCAAAGGTAAAAGGAAACTCTTAAAATAAGATTTACTATAGCTATTTAGCTTCTATGCAAATGAGGAGTCTGTTCAGATTTTTTCATGCACCTGTGCTGCGGAAACACTTGGGGGGCATACATAGAGTCTAACGTGTCTCTCACTTGAACTTCTATCTTACTTGACTTTCAGAATTGTGATAGCATGTCCTGAAGAAGACTCTAGTTATGCCAGAGAGAAACAGTGTTGTAGAGAAATGAACACAGGGACCAATTGCCCTCATAGAAAAATGACTAGCTTGTCATGTTTAATTCTTTTAAGGAAAAAGAGAGAGAATAAAAGAAAAAGGATTAGGCTTAGCATACTTGTCCATCTGTTTTTGACTTGAGTGGTTTTAAAAAATACCCTCAAGTAGCTTTGTCTCTAACTGTAACCAATAGGGTTACAGCCCACCTACAGGATGTCAGGAAATTTAGAAAATAGCTGTGATAGTGGAGGTAAGAGTCATTGGAGTCATCTGGCATTCTGTCAGCTGTAATGCACTGTGTCCGTGCCTTTCATTAGCTCTGCAGTGCAGCAGGTATGGATGGCTCTCAGCGGTGGATCCAGGTACTGCAGGGCCCTCTTGTGACCTCAGAGTGAGCTCTTAAAGATTATGTCATACTCAGCAAGACACATCTAGAAACAGCCATGCTTATGCTGAGAGGTTTTTTTGTGTGTGTGAATTTCTGCATGTCAGGAATTGATAGATGGCATAGAGAGTTCTCTGTAAGCCACTACGTTGGTTTTCCAGACCCCCATTTTGACCAGTCAACCTTGACAACAGAGCATTTGCTCTTTTTAAAATAATTTTTTTTTTTTTTGATAAATATACAGAATTCCTTTTAATTTTCTCTAAAAGGTTTTCTCTAAACCTTTATATGTGGAAAACCTTGTGTTCCTTCCTTTTTCCTTTTGTCCAGCAGATGGGTGTCTAAGACAGTGACAGGTCACCACCAGTCTATGGGTGTATGATGCAAGTTTGGGAGCCTTAATGGGCAAACCTAAGAGGCAGGTCATGGGTTGAAACTGGTTAGCAGCGAGGAGGGCAAGTAGGAAGGTACAGCCTATCACTGTTCACTCCTCAGTATTTAAAACTGTCAGATGTGGAAAGTAACTGCTGATGCAATTCTAAGTTGATAGTTTGCTTATTTTCTCTGAAGGATCCTAATGATTGTTAACCATTTTTCATTTTTATTTTGCTGGATTACTATTTTTTTGCTTCAGCATTTTTGTTCTTGCTATGCTTATCTTCTGAGTTTTGATTCCCTGTGTCACTGTTTTCTTTTACACGTCTCTCTCAAGGTTTACACAGTAAACAATGTGAGTGTCATAACTAAAATACGAACAGAACATCTGACGGAGGAAGAAAAAAAGAGATACAAAGGTAACCCTGCTCCTTCCATAGTCAAGAGGGCTTGCGTTGGCTGTTTTGAGTTAGTGTGATTAGGAAGCACAAACACTAACCCTAATTTCCTTTGTATAAAAATGTCTGTAGTCTGACTCATTCTTGGAGATGTGTCCCCATAGTTGGCTTCAGCTGTAATTAAAGCCATTCATAAAGACTTCTTTATGTTTTACGAAGAACAATTGTTGGCTTTGGCCGGAAGAATAGATAAGGAAATTGGAGAATGTTTATCTTCGGAGTAAGTGATGTAGTCCAATATATCATGATGAACGATTTGAACAGAACCTGGGATTCTAAGCCGAAACGTTGCCCTTTATGGTTGCCATATTTCAGCCATGCCAATGGCTTACCCACAGTTTCCTCAGCAGTGAATTGGCAGTGATGTTGGACCTTTCTTAGTGTTGCTGGGAGAATTAGATGCATTACTGCCTGTAAGTCTCTCCAACGATGCTTGTAGTATGTGGTTAGCATGCAGCAATTGGTAGTTAACCTTTACTACCACCACTCTTAACATTACTCCAGTATGACAGATGAAGAAACCGAGGCCCAGAGAAATTATCTGTCATCAGATCCATGGGTAGTGAGTGGGACTGGATTCAGATATGGCTTCCTTCTAAATCCACAGGGTTCCCACTGCTCTGCTTTAATTCTTGTTTCTGCTGTCCATCTACTTTAGAAATCCTAAGAAAAAGTGTTCCATGAAGGATAAATTAGTTTATGGTTGTTGTGGGTGATCTTACTCAGCCTGGTCGTAAACAAAAGACTCCACTTCATTACTGCCTAATGCAGACTACTGGGATCAGAAACGTGAAAATAGGAAGAGAGTCTTTTTTCTATAGCCACAGTAAGGTATACGATCAGAAATTAACTTTCTTCCTCCTCTGTAGCGGACAGGAATCCACTGGAATCTCTGCTGGGAACCGTGGAACACCAGTTTGGTGCTCAAGGGGTAAGTTTAAGCCATGGGTTTTCAGCAGTCTTAGGAAAGGAAAGGACTTATTTGTGATAGCATTTATCCGTTCTCTGTGAAAAGGCTAACGTATTCCCAAGCTAGAATCTGAGAAAAGAATCCGACAACTCTTTAAAAGTTTGCGAGAAAGGGTGGTTTTTATGGACATTAGATGCTTCCTCTCTTATCTGTCATAAGCTAGGGCTTCTCTGTAACAATAGAACTGAAAAAGGGGGCTGCTGTTGGTTGCCATCGAGTTGACTGTGACTCATGGTGACCTCGTGTGTAGAACAGAAGTGCTCCATAGAGTTTTCAAGACTGTGACTGCTCCAAAGTACCAGGATTACAAAGTACACAGGATTTTGTATTTTATAGTGCACCTTAATGAACATCTTACTTGATCTTCCAATAACCATATGAAATCAGTACACTATGTGTCACCAAAGGTCAGAAAAATGAAATAACCATTCTAGTGTCCCATGCTTAAGAATGGCAGAGCTGGAAATTAAGCCTCAAATCTCATGTACTTTCAAATATTTACGACTTTTTTTTTCTTCTTTTTTAAAATTAGGAGATAAAAATGCAAAGGAGAGTAGACAAGTATTTAGTTCCTATTTTAAAAAGAAGTCCTTGTGACTTGCCATGGAGTTTGGTAATACATTTGTACACTTTTCTTATTCCATGCAAACCAAAAAAACCACACTCACTGCCATTGAGTAGGTTCTGACTTGTAGCGACCCCTCCTTGGGTTTCTGAGGTGGTATGAGTCGGATCCAACTCTACGGCAGTGGTTGCATTTTTTGTGTTGTGTTTATATCCACGGAAGTAGATTGCCCAGTCTTCATAAGGAATGAACTCCAGCCTTCTGGTTAGCAGTCAAATGTCTTACATGCTACTCTACCAGAGCTCCCTTATTCCATGCAGTAAACTTAATAAAGAGACCTTTCCAAATAGATCTGTAGCTGGTTCACCAAGTCCACCTCAGAGACTGAGTGCCACAGGCCTCCACCTGGGGGCGTACTTAGCCTTTCTCATTCCCCTGAATTTTGGTTTGGCAGGACCTCACCACTGAATGTGCCACTGCCAACAACCCCACGGCCATCACACCTGAGGAGTACTTCAATGAAGAGTTTGATCTGAAAGATAGGGACATTGGAAGACCTAAAGAGCTGACGATTAGAACGCAAAAGTAAGACATCCTGTGGCCAGAAGTTGTGCTGTTTGTCACGTTCAGTCATCCCCTGACCCCTTCCTTTAAAAACAATTGTTAAGCCACCTTATCTGAAGGAAAGCAGATTGTCCATCTTAGGAGACCTTTCCAAATAGAACATAGTTTGGATGTAAGAATTCCTTCTTTAACTGCCAACAAACTTCTGCTGATCAAATGCAATGGTTCCCACTGGCCATCTTCCATCTTCATACTTGCTATCAGTTAAGTCTGTTGTAGCCAGTGGTTGTAATCAGGTCATTTCCCCAGATGCCAGATTTCAGTGTGAATTAAGAGATAACTGGGAAGCTTGTGGCAGGAGGAGACCAGCGGTTGACTGTTCTTGTTGTTAGGTGCCAGCGAGTCGATTCTGACTCATAGTGATCCCATGAGACAGAGCAGAACTTTCCCATAGGATTTCCTAGGCAGTCTTTATAGGGAGAGCTCTGGTAGCGTAGTGCCTAAGGCACTTGACTGCTAACCAGAAGGCTGGTGGTTCAAATCCACCAGTCACTCTTCAGAAGGAAGGTTGGGCAATCTCCTTCCGTAGTGCTATTGCCTCGGAAACGCAAGGAGGGGTCACTGTGAGTCGGGTCCAACTTGAGGCACATAACAACAACAATGTATAGGAGCAGATCATGTCTTTCTACCACAGAGCCTCTGGGTGAATTTGAACTACTCACATTTCAGTTCACAGCTAAGTGCTTAACTGTTGTGCCACCAGGGCTCCTGTTGTGGCTTTCCCGTCTGGTAGAGATGACTTCCATCTTTTCTCTGCCAAATCCCACAGGTTTAAAGCGATGCTGTGGATGTGTGAAGAGTTTCCCCTGTCTCTCGTGGAGCAGGTCATTCCCATCATTGACTTGATGGCCAGGACGAGTGCTCACTTTGCAAGACTTAGGGATTTCATCAAGCTGGAATTCCCGCCTGGATTTCCTGTAAAGATAGGTATTGTGTGATGAACCACAGGAATGCTTGGGCTCTGCTCATTATTGTGGGTGATAGAGCATGCTTCAGGGAGCTAGTGCACTTGAGGCTCAGAGTAACATGAGGGAGAAGTCAGGGTTATTCTGCAGTTTCATGTAAAGAAGTGTCAGGATTCTGGATTCAGGTTGAGGATTTGCACACCAAAAATTAGGAGACCCACCCGTCAGTTCTATTTGTAGGCAGTCCTGATAGATGTAAGAAAGCATAAAAATATGACACACATTGTTTCTTTGTTTCCTGTGCTTTTGACGAGAGTGGATCTAGAAGAGGTTGTTTTACTTATCAATTTAGACAGGGTTTTTTTTAATTTTTTGTTGTGATTTGGGTGAAATTTTACACGCAGTTTTGTTTCACACTCAACAGTTCAAACTCATTTCGTTTCATGGCACTGATTATGGTCCCCAATGTTGAACAGCTCTCCTCCCTGTGACTACTCCTTCCCTGTGTCCTTCTTCCCTGTGCATTCCTGTCTGTCTAGCTTTCCCTCTGTGTAAATGCTGCCCTTCTGATCTCATCTCCCTGGGGCAGGTGTTTCACTCAGAGGCCTGTCTGTTGTCTGTTATTTGGCTGAGAGCTAACCCATGGGAGTGAATCCAATTCCAGGCCTGAAGGGTAACCTGGGGCCATAATCTCAAGAGGTTTCACCAGTCTCTATCAGACCAGTAATTCCGATCCTTTTGGTTTTGAAATCTTGTTCCACATTTTTCCCCCACTCTGTCTTGGCTCTCCATTTTGATCCCTTTCTGAGTGCTTGGCAGTGGTACCCAGGCACCATCTAATTCTTTTGGTCTCAGGGCCATGTAGGCTGAGGTTCCTGTGGTCCATTAGTCCCTTGGACTGATTGTTTCCACATGTCTTTGACTTTCCTGACTTTTCTTTGCTTCGGACAAGGAGAGACCAATAGTTCCATCTTAGATGATCACTCATAAGCTTTGAAGATCCCAGTTGCTACTCAAATTAGTTGTTTGAAGAAGATAGTTGACAGCAGGATCCTTTGATCCATAAATGTGTTTTGGGGCCTGGACTTGGATGCATAATACCATGCATAACAGATACGACTCATGAGGAGTTTTCATTTTGGATGGTTGTAGACCTGTGATATTGAACCCTGGCTCATCACTTACTGTGCTCTAGGAGAAACAGCTTAACCACTGCATCTCCATTTGCCTATTGTATATTGATTGGGGAATGGTGTTATGAGGATGAAATGAAATTATTCTTATAAAAAGTACTTGGCACAGTACTAGCATAGTAAGCATGTAGTGAATTGTAGTTGTTACCGTTATTCTCACTGAAGTTTATTTATGAAAGCTTTTATTTTGTTAGAAATTCCCTTGTTTCATGTCTTAAATGCACGGATTACATTTGGAAATGTTAATGGCTGTAGCACTGCTGAAGAAACGGTGTACCAAAATGTGAATGGAAGCCAGGCCAATTCAGGTAAAAAAAAAAAAAAAATGGGGTTTGTGGTTTTAGAAAAAAATGACTAATTTAGCTATTTCAATAATTATTAAGTTTGAAATTGGACACAGATTTGTGGGAAGTTTTAGAAAATTTAGTAAAAAAATTAACTTGTAGAATATGTATGATCCCAGTTGTATTAAAGACAGCATATTCTTAAAAATTAATTTGACTGAGGTGTAATATACATACAATAAGATGCACCCATGTTAAATGGGACAGTTCAACACATTTTCACAAATGTATAACCCGTGTAATCACCACCACAGTCAAAACATAAAGCATTCTATCATATCAGACAATTCCCTCATGTTCCTGCAGTGAATCCAATTCACATTTTTGGGTGCTATTGTAAAAGCATTTATTTTCTTAATTTTATTTTCCTATTTTCATTACTAATATATAGAATATAACTGATTTTTATACATTGATCTTGTATCATGCAACATTGCTACATTACTTATTACTTCTAGGAACTTTTATAGATTTCTTGCATAGACATTCATGCTATCAGTGAATAAAGAGAATTTTATTTCTGCCGTTTCAATCTGTAAGCCTTTTATCTTTTTTTTTTTTTTAATTGCACTGGCTAGGAACTCAAGTACAAGGCTTAGTAAAAATGGAGAGGGAAGCTGTCCTGGTCTTGTTCCTGATGTTAGAGGCAAAGTGGTTTCCTATTTCACCATTAAATAGGAGGTTGGCTGTAGGTGTTTGCTAGATGCCCTTACCAGGCTGAGGAAACTCCTTTATATTCCTCATTCACTGAGGCTTTTTAATCATTGAGTATTGACTTTTGTCAAGTGCTTTTTCTGCAACTACTGAGATGATGAAAGGGCTTTTCTCCTCTATTGGATTGGTGAAGTAGCAGACAGCGTTTTATTGTATGTAAATTACAGCTCAAATTTTAAAAATGAAAATCAACAGAGATAGACAGTGTTACCCTACCAGATAGGACAAAGGCTCTGGAAGTATATATTCATGAAGCTGTATAGCAAGAGAACGCCAGGCCCTTGAGATGGGGAGTAAACAGGTCGAACTTCTTGAGCAGAACATTGGGCATCACTTGGGGAAGCTGCAGCTATGCATATCCAGCATATCTCCCAAGTCCTAAGCATGTACCCCGGAGAAACCTGTCTGGGGGCTTGTGGAGGCACCGACAGTGGCCAGCAGTACGTTCACAGTAGCTGAAAGTGGAGCCCTGATGCCATGAGACAGTAGAATGTGCTGTGTGCACGAATGCAACGGAGTAACGTATAGTAGTGAGAATAAAAATTTACAGCTGCACACATCAGATTTTGTCAATTTCAAAAACCATGTTGAAATCCAATTAAAAAATGGGCAGAAGACATGAATAGACACTTCACCAAGGAGGATATTCAAGCGGCCAACAAACATATGAAGAAATGCTCACGAT